CTCCTCCTCGGCCTTGTCAAGGTAATGAAGCTCCTCCTCGGCCTCCACGGTGGATCGAAGGATTTGAATGAGTAGTCAGGGTATGGAGGAAAATATGAGTTCGTTAGAACGTTGGATTAAAGTATTATGATTAGGATTGCCAATGTTAAGGTTAATTGGTTAGTTAGAATTATGATTGCTATATATTCTAAGGTCAATTTTTATATGAATTTTACTTGTTTGAGTTTGCATCTCAACTTTTATATGTGAATAAATATATGGACACACCGTTGATGTACCAAATTTTATTTTTTACTGACCAAAGTATAGTTTTTATATAGTTTTCATGTTTGCATCTAAGATAGAGTTTGCACCAAAGTGTAGGTTATACTTTATTTGTTGTGATGAAAATGGTGCTCATTGACATTAATTTGTGATGTTTTGATTTTTGTTTGTTAAATCACAACCGTTTTGTTAGATGCAAGAAATGTATCGGGAGGAGTTTTGGCGAAAACAGGGTCATCCTCGAGAATTATACCCTGACGCATCTAGCAAAGATGTCCCCGTCCCTCCTGACCCCCCCTGTCCCTAATTGTGATTGTGGTTTCCCGGCCGACGTGTTTCAATCGAGACATCCAGACACAGCGGCGCGTTGCTTCTACATATGCAGTCGTTTTAATGTAAGTAATTGTTTCCACTATCTTTTTTTTCTTTATTCGTGTAAGTAGGCTACTAATATTTTATTGGAATCTTGTTGTGTAGGACCATGAGAGGTGCCTTTTCTTTTAGTGGGTCGACGGTGCAGACAAGTTTGACCCTAGATATCTCATTTTCTACGATTGGTGTAGAGGGAGACATCCACGTGAGTACTTCTAGCGGTGGGTTCCACCACTCCCTAACCCCCCGCCGATGACAGCTAAGGAGAAATATCTAGCCGCAGTTAGACGACTTGAGGAACCTTCTCTGTGTGAATGCGGAGATCAAGTTATGATAAACCTTGAGAATACGTTGGAGTTTGTGTGCCCGAACAAACATGAAGTAAATGGAAAGTATATCTGTTTAAATGTTTATCTCTATATGTGTACGTGTACTAATGTATTCTCTTATAGCGTTATGGATTTGTGAAGTGTCGTTTCAATGAGTGACTCAATGATCCTAAGAATCAATGGCCGGATCCATCGAAGGCAAAGGAAAAGAAGAAAGAAAGGTTAATTTATAAAGCACCTCCAATCAAGTGCGAATGTGGTGTTAAATCCAACTATGGTCTAGTCCCTTCGGAGCTTGGAATAGGCTATTATTGCGGCCACATGGTTGACTATGATGAGGTTGGTTATTTTTGTGGTAAACATTAAATTGTATTTTGCTTCTTTTGTTAAGACATATATGATATAATTTTTTGTTTGAACAGAGCACTAGGAAATGCAGGTGGGAATGTTATGATGGTCAAACTAAGTTCTTGGATGAACTGAAGGGGAGGCAAGTAATTGCACGGAAGAGAGGATATGGACCTGACTACGTCAACCTATTCGATAAACATCATAAAAATAAGATGCGTGAGTTTGCTAGACAGCGCGGTATTCGTTACCCGATCAATGTTGGGCTTGACAAATGGGGATTGAAGAGACGGAAGACGTTAGAGGAGGAGAGGGCAAGGAAGGAGACAAGGAAGGAGAAAAGAGTACAGATGTGTCCCTGTGCATTGTTCGTCGGACCCGAGCTCGACTGCTGTTATGTGCCAGTAAGTCATTGTGTGCCAGTAAGTCATTGGAAGCATTGTTATTTTCATTACCTGCTTTTAAATGTAATATAACCATGCCGTAGAGGTGGCCCATGCAAGATTTGAGAAAAAAAAGTTATATGAGCACAGAACGCGAGCTGGTCGCACCGTTCAATCTTCGATCGTGTTGTCTAATGAGGGGGACGAGGATGAGGACGACACTGCTAGGTTGAGCGATCTCATCACTCTTGCTGAGGAGGGCTTGCAGGCGGAGGAGGCTGAGGACGACATCTTGGCGGTCGAAAGCGAGCTTATCGCTCTAGCGAGGCGGCGATGGGCGATGAGGGAGGCAACAGAGACGGGGAGAATGAGACGGAGTCGTGGGGCCCAGGCACGGCGGCGGCGCGGGCGCGGGTCGGTCAGGCGAGGCGAGAGCGTGGCGTGTGCGTGTGAGGCTGCCGCCGCTCTCTGGCGGGCGTGGTGGTGACGCTGCCAAGGGGCACTGTTGGGGGCGGGCGTGGTGGTGGCGAGTGAGACAGAGAGAGAAAGGGAAGCAAAGGCCGGGTACAAGGGGTGCTGCTGCGTGATCGTGTGTGTGGAGCCTGCGGCCGTGATCGTGGTGCTGGAGGTCCGTCAGCGTCGTGTGTGGTGTGTCGGACACCGCCATATCGTGATCGCCCCTGCAGTAAGTAGATTAGCCGCGTCGTGCAAATAGGCACGTCCAAAAGAGTTAGTTTTGAAAAAAAATAAACAGCGACAGTTTTAAAAATAATTTAAAAAATGTGTTAAAAAAATCGGTGTGAGCGTAAATACGGATGACAACTTGGTTCTAATCTCTCCGTGGCTGGTCATCACGATTTACTTGTCGATAATTTTAATTTAATTTATAAAAAATACGTGTAACATTTCTATCTCTAAATAAATTTATTAAAAAACTAGGTTTAAATATCTATTCAATGATACTAATTATATATCATAAATATTAATAATTTTTAATATATATATATATATATATATATATATATATATATATATATATATATATATATATATATATATATATATATATATATATATATATATATATATATATATATATATATATATATATATATATATATATATATATATATATATATATATATATAAAGTTGTTTTTCGGGTAACGAAAACGACAGACAAAACGGAGGGAGTACTCGTTAAGAGCTGAACTCTGAAGGCAGGAGAGAGCAGCCTTCTGCTGAGAGCCTCCAAAGTGAGCGTCCCCGCCGCCGGCCCCCTGCCCTTCCTCCCTGGCGTGTTCGCCGGGCGACGAGGGTAGGTGGGCCGGACCCCCCCTCGCCTGCCTTCTCCCTCCCACCCTCCCTGTAGAGTTCCCTAGTGGAATAAGTGCCTGGATGGACGTTTCGAGGGCTCTAGTCCTCCTCACTGTTGTCTTCTTGGAGGTGGGCGAACCTGCCGTGGTCATGGTGGCTGACGGGAGGTTCCTCCAAATCGACGCGGTGAGTCCTTCAATAAAGCCCTTTCCTTCTCCCGTGCTTCTTCCTCCCATGCTCCATGGTTGTATGGGCTGCATGGTGCTGCTCTCCTCCAAATCGAGCCAAGGGGGAAGCATGGTTACCAACAGCGTCAACGACACCGGCGTCCTCGACCCACTGCGCGTGGAAGCGGCGGTCCTGTCGCCTTCGTCGGACCCGAGCTCGACTGCTGTGTCCCTGTGCAGATAATCCGACCTGGGCGCAAACACGCCTTCGGTTTCCAGATAGATTCCGACGACGGTGGCGGCCGACGAACAGGAATTAAACCCTAATATTTTTTTTTTCAATTTCATGTCTGATACCACTTGTTAGCAAATATAATTACAAATAAAGATCAAACATGAGATAAAGATTTTTTTACGTGAAAAATCCTTGCGGGAAAAAAACAACGATCGTCAACCGGCAATCTTGAGTTTACGGGACACACGGAATATAATGAATCCTTATGGTAAAAAACCACGTCAACCGACAATCTTGAGTTTACAGAATGCAGGGAATATAACGAATCCTTGCGGCAAAAAATCACGAGCATCTACCAACAATCTTCACTGTAAGGAGAGTTTACATAACGCAAAGAATATAATTAGTTGTTTCCTCTTGCCGTATGGCTTACAATAGCATGGACTCACTGCAGTCAAATATGAAAACACTTGCTTCTGTTCCTAGAAGATCTGGAACCGCTAGTTCCTCAGCCAAAATCCGTTACAGAGATACAAGTTTCGCAATGCTCGACGCCGACCTATACTGCTCCGGGAGCGTCCTCCACCACGCCACGAAAGACGAGCTCCCCAGAAACACGTCCTTGCCCAAATTTCCAGAGTTATACCAGCCATGTGCATCGTTCTCAAGTTTAACCACCCGGTCTCTCAGGTCCTCGAAAGCCCTGCCGTCGGCCATCTCGGCCTGGAGCTCCTCGACCACCGCCCAGAAGCAGGACTCGAGGCTGGACCCAACGGGAGCGCGCTGCAGCTGCTCGTGCCACTTCTGCGTGTACTTGTACCGCCTCGGCCGCCCCTTGGAGAGGTAGGAGCCGGTGTCCTCATTCTTGGAGTGCCAGTAATAGTTGGCGATGTCCAGCGGCTCGACCAGGCGACGGAACAAGGTCCCCAGGCTCACCCACTCCTCACGAGCCTCGAAGCCGTCCGGCAGTTCACGCCTCCGCAACATCTCCACTATCTCGTCCCAGAGGCCAGCTAGCACCAGCCTCCGCACGTTTGCATCGAAGTCATGCACCTCACGTTGGAGCTTGAAGGAATCGTAGCAGCTTACACCACGGAGTTCCCTTGATCTTTTGTACTCGTTTAGGGACCCGAGGGCTTCCTGAATCTTTTGGCAACTTTTTGTTTGGTTTCTCTGTCTTTGCTTCTCCCATTGAGCAGCTGCAGAAAGGTGCAGTATAGCTTCCCTGCTCTGTGATAAAAAAGAACTTCTTTTCTTTTCTACATTAGAAGAATGCATGTTGGTTAGAAAATGCTTTGAACACGACGACAAATATGAAAATAAAGTTCATAGTCAATTACAATCTAAGATAGGATAGAAAATGCTCGTGTTAGACTGAAGTACAGCAGATGGTCAATGACAACTTTAGTGATTTGCAACTATGAAGAGTGACTTCACGGTGACGACCACATGATCACTATCGTGAAGGAAATGCAAACTACTCTTATAATGAACATATGTACATGGCACATAAAGGAGGAAGGGGGGGCGGCTAGTTGGCTTACCAATTCAATGCTTCCAATGGGGGGCGCGGCTAGTTGGCTTACCAATTCAATGCTTCCAATGGCCACTCTGTCTGTCTGCCTACCAGGAACAGTTGATGAGATTGTTCCCAGGTAATCCACACAGATTATATCCTGCATGCACTCTTTAATTGGTTCATACTGCCGGTGAGCACTTAAGCTTCTAGCAGCAGCATCAAGCAGTTGTTGTTGGGGATCCAACTGAAGGCAGTAAAATAACAACTGCAGTACAGCATCTGAATTTGTGAGAACAATCAATTGCTCACTGCTTGTCAAGAAATGATAAGTCCCACAGGGTCTGTAAGGGGAGAGGTCAATTAGGGATGAAAACGGATCGGATACGAACGGATATCACTCATATTATATTTGTTTTCATATTTCTGTTCGGATTCGGATTCAGACACGGATAGCGTTCGGATACATATACGAATACGGATTGACTTCGATTACGGATCTGAATAATGAGTATCGAATACGGTATGAATCGGATTAGGAGAAGGTCGGATACAAATATCTATTCGGATATTGAGTAAAAGCAGCATATATATATATATATATCATAATGCATGAAACCATTACACCACTCTATGAGTCCATAATCCATCTAGATTAAGCCGAAAGACTAAAGAGTAAAGCAACAAATAAGATAAAGATACAGATACATCATACATCAAACATCATATAAGCACCAATCTTCGCGGCATGAGTAGAAATAGCCAAGCACATTGCTTCATGGGTCTCATGGAGTCATGGTCATGGATTCAAGATCTACAATCCTTATATAGGCCATTTTTTTCATTTTGAGAAAGTTTGAACAAAATGTAGTTCAAATTTCACAAGTGTGTGACATAGTTTTAGAAAGTCTGTATGAGATTTAAGATTTTGTGACTAGTGTTTGATAAAACTTTCTCAAATGGGAAAATGAGCTATGTAACAATTGTATATCTTGCTGAGATGATCAAACTTGGTATTCAGAGTTTTTTCATCTGAGGTCATTTAGTATCTCATTTGAGCAAGTTTGACCAAGTCAAATTTGGTCAAATGAAAAAACAACAATTTGACTCTAGTATTATGAACTCTAAATGACTTTAAATTGAAAAGTTTTGAATAACAAGTTTGTTCAACTCATCAAGATCTACAATTCTTGTTTTGGTCAACTTTCCATTTGAGATAGTTTGGACGGTTCAAATTTGTGATTTTTAAATTTCGATGCTTACAAACTAGTTTTCGGAACCCTAGATTGTCTCAAATTGAAAAGTTTTGAATACCAAGTTTGTTCAGCTCATCAAGATCTACAATCCTTATATAGGCTATTTTTTCATTTGAGAAAGTTTGAATAAAATGTAGTTCAAATTTCACAAGTGTGTGACATAGTTTCAGAAAGTCTATATGAGATTCAAGAATTTGTGACTAGTGTTTGATAAAACTTTCTCAAATGGGAAAATGAGCTATGTAACAATTGTATATCTTGCTGAGATGATCAAACTTGGTATTCAGAGTTTTTTCATCTGAGGTCATTTAGTGTCTCATTTGAGCAAGTTTGACCAAGTCAAATTTGGTCAAATGAAAAAACAACACTTTGACTCTAGTATTATGAACTCTAAATGACTTCAAATTGAAAAGTTTTGAATACCAAGTTTGTTCAACTCATCAAGATCTACAATTGTTGTTTTGGTCAACTTTCCATTTGAGATAGTTTGGACGGTTCAAATTTGTGATTTTTAAATTTCGACGTTTACAAACTAGTTTTCGGAACCCTAGATTGTCTCAAATTGAAAAGTTTTGAATACCAAATTTGTTCATCTCATCAAGATATACAATCCTTATATAGGCCATTTTTCATTTGAGAAAGTTTGAACAAAATATAGTTCAAATTTCACAAGTGTGTGACATAGTTTCAGAAAGTCTATATGAGATTCAAGAATTTATGACTAGTGTTTGATAAAACTTTCTCAAATGGTAAAATGAGCTATGTAACAATTGTAGATCTTACTGAGATGATCAAACTTGGTATTCAGAGTTTTTTCATCTGAGGTCATTTAGTGTCTCATTTGAGCAAGTTTGACCAAGTCAAATTTGATCAAATGAAAAAACAACACTTTGACTCTAGTATTATGAACTCTAAATGACTTCAAATTGAAAAGTTTTGAATACCAAGTTTGTTCAACTCATCAAGATCTACAATTGTTGTTTTGATCAACTTTCCATTTGAGATAGTTTGGACGGTTCAAATTTGTGATTTTTAAATTTCGACGTTTACAAACTAGTTTTCGGAACCCTAGATTGTCTCAAATTGAAAAGTTTTGAATACCAAATTTGTTCATCTCATCAAGATATACAATCCTTATATAGGCCATTTTTTCATTTGAGAAAGTTTGAACAAAATATAGTTCAAATTTCACAAGTGTGTGACATAGTTTCAGAAAGTCTATATGAGATTTAAGAATTTATGACTAGTGTTTGATAAAACTTTCTCAAATGGGAAAATGATCTATGTAACAATTGTAGATCTTGTTGAGATGATCAAACTTGGTATTCAGAGTTTTTTCATCTGAGGTCATTTAGTGTCTCATTTGAGCAAGTTTGATCAAGTCAAATTTGGTCAAATGAAAAAACAACACTTTGACTCTAGTATTATGAACTCTAAATGACTTCAAATTGAAAAGTTTTGAATACCAAGTTTGTTCAACTCATCAAGATCTACAATTGTTGTTTTGGTCAACTTTCCATTTGAGATAGTTTGGATGGTTCAAATTTGTGATTTTTAAATTTTGAATAAATATCCGGATAATATCCGTTTTTAAATATCCGGATATATCCGATACTTATCCGGATTATCCGATATCCGCCGGATATCGATGATATTACATCCGTATTTGATATCCGCCTAAGATATCCGTTTTAGTATCCGTATCCGAAAAAAAACCCGGATATCCGAGTAACTATCTAGATAAGTGTTCATATTTGTTCGGTCGAACGGACGGTCGAATAAATATCCGTACCGTTTTCATCCATAAGGTCAATGAAGGAAGTCAATGTCCCCAGGATGGAGCTGGTACATCCCATGAAAGAACAGGCTTCATAGCTGGCAATAGATAGTGTGCTTCTCAATAAAGTTTCATAATATCCAGGTATGACAAGAGACCTCCCAGCAGGGGAGTTGTTTGGCGTCTGAGGAGATAACCAATCCAGAACAGCTTGAATTTCTTCTCCGAAGGACACAAGCGGAGTCAGTGGTATGCGTGGGACAATGTCCAGTGGAAGAAGGAAATGCAAAATACACTGTGACCAGCCCTCTCTTTTAACAGCATGGTTGAAGATATTGTCTCCAACAAGAGGAGCTCCAAAGGTCACACAAAATGGGTGTGCTTGATTAACACTTCCTCGTCTGGTGCACTTCTCAAGAAACCATATAGCAGCAAGGGTCGCTATTGAACCTCCTGATGAATGGCCTGTGAATACTAGGCGTTTCTCCTCCGCCACAGCTCTTGATACCTGTATTTACGGGGAAATAGTTTTATTTTGTCAAGGGCGTCGGGCCCTTGGGTAGCTGGACCTCGGCTACGTAGTTCGTAGCCGCGATCCGTCTTCTCCGGCGAGGTTTTCCCCTCTGCCGCAGGCTTAGTTGTTTAGAGAGAGAGAGAGACGAGATGGGTAATATCTTACTTCTTGCCTTTTAATTGTCTCCAGTACAAATATATATGGCCTGAGGCCGAACTGACTAGAGCCAATCGGCTCCTAGAATTAAGGACTAAGAATAGCAACTAATCCTATCTTTCCTGCTAACCACCGGAGGCTGGCTTGACCAGGCCCAACCTTGCGCGATCAACGCGCACGGCAGCACGCCGCATGTCCCTGGTGCGCCGTCGCCTGCTGTACGTCTGGCCCCACATGACATCTCTCCCCCCCTCAAGGTCCAGCTCGTCCTCGAGCTGAAAATCTGGGTACTTGTCGCGGAACTCATCGAGGTCTTCCCATGTAGCAGAGGTCGCCGGCCCACCACGCCAATGCACAAGGACCTGGTGAACACCTCTCGCCAGGCGAGCTTGCTCCACCTGAGCAGGCTCTGGCACAATGGCGCCATGGTAGATGTCGGGCAGGGGTGGCGGAGCTGATGGAGGTGTCCCGATGAACTTCTTGAGAGTGCCCACATGGAACACGTCATGAATGCGAGCCTGCGGGGGCAACTCCAGTCGCACGGCGACGTCGTTGATGAGCTCGACGACGCGGTATGGCCCGAGGAAGCGAGCCTTCAGCTTGCCCGTTGTAGACTGGGGAAGCGACGATGGGGTGCGCTGGCGGAGATGAAGAAGCGCCCAGTCGCCCACCTCATAGGAAACCGTGCGGTGTTGCTTATCGTAGTGGCGATTCTGAACAGCCTGCGCCTACTCCAGGCGATAGCGCACGTCGGTGAGGAAAGCCTCGCGCTCCTCCATGTCGCGCGCGACCGCAGCGACCCGTGTCTCACCAGGCTCATACGAGCGGATGGTGGGTGGGTCACGGCCGTACACCATGCGGAACGGTGTCTCTCGGAGCGAAAACTGATAGGCCGTGTTGTACGTACTCGGCCCCACGCAGCCTAACGCAGCTTCATCGAGGGCGGTCGCCCGGTGAAGCGGTAGCGCAGTACATAGCGATGACGCGATTGGCGCCTCCGTCGGCCGTCCATTTGAGGGGTGGAAGGCCGATGACATGTGCAGTTTAGTGCCCATGAGCCGCATAAGCTCGCGCCAGAACGTCGAGGTAAACACCGGGTCGCGGTCGGAAACCATGGACTGCGGCACGCCATGGAGGAGCACAATGTCGGCGAAGAAGGCCTGCGCCACGGACACGGCGGTGTACGGGTGGCCCAAGGCGATGAAGTGGCAGTACTTGCTAAAGCGGTCTCTGACGGAGAGGATCACCGACTTCCCGTTGACACGGGCGTGGCTTCCACGAAGTCGAGGCGATGTCCGCCAGACGACCGTGGGGATCGGCGATGGCATGAGGAGGCCGGCCGGGTGGAGGTGCTCGGACTTGTATCGCCGACAAGTGGCACATGCCCGCACAAAGTCCTGCACAAGACGCCGCATGTTGGGGAAGTGGAAATGTGGCGAGTCGGTGCGATGCAGTGTTGGGCGCCCTCGTGGCCATCATCGTGGGATACCGCCACGATTTCTGCAAAGTGGCGAGGGCGGCGGTATGTCAGCGCCCGTCATAGAGGACCATGTCATCGACCACCGTCCATGGTGCGGCTGCGCGCGTGCGCGCGCGACATCGTCGTGGATGGCGACGGTATGGGTCGGTGCTTTGGCGTGGCGCGACCGGCCGATGAAGTCGAAGCGGGGGCGAGATCGCTGGAGGCCGCCGTCTTTGTTTCGTCGCTGTGTCTCGGCGCGAGAGGGCGTCGGCCACCGTGTTCGTCGCCCCCGACTTGTATTCAACGGAGAAGTCAAAGCCGAGTAGCTTCCCCACCCAGTGGTGCGGAGGGATGGTGGCGAGGCGCTGGTCGAGGAGGTACTTGAGGCTGTAGTGGTCCGTCTTGACGATGAAACGGCGCCCCCACAGGTACGACCTCTAGTGCCGCACAGCGAGGACAAGCCCTATGAGCTCCCGCTCATAAGCGGCGAGGGAGCGATGGTGGGGCGCCACCGCCCTACTGAAGAAGGCGATCGGGTGAGCCTCCTGGATGAGCACGGCCCCGAAGCCATAGGTGGACGCGTCGCACTCCACAACGAAGGGCTTGGTGAAGTCCGGCAAGGTCAGCACCGGAGCCGACGTGACTGCCCCTTTGAGGGCGCTGAAGGCCGCCGCCGCCTCGGTCGTCCATGCGAACCCCTCCTTCTTCAGGAGAGCCGTGAGGGGTGCTACAATGGTGCCGTAATTGTGGACGAACTTGCGGTAGTAGCCCGCCAAGCCGAGGAAGCCGCACACGGCCCGTGCAGATTGGGGCTGGGGCCAGGCGTGGATGGCTTGGACCTTAGAGGGATCCATGGCGACGCTAGCCGCGGAAATGATGTGGCCGAGGTAGGCGACAGAGTCGACGCCGAACGAGCACTTGGACCGCTTCACAAAGAGGCAGTGCTGGCGTAGGATGGTGAGGACGGCGCGGAGGTGTCGCAGGTGGTCCGCCCAAGTAGTGTTGTAGATCAGAATGTCGTCAAAGAAGACAAGCACAAACCGGCGTAGATAGGCGCGTAGCACGTCGTTCATCAAGGCCTGGAATGTCGCTGGGGCGTTGCACAGCCCGAACAGCATCACCAGGAACTCGTAGAGTCCGTCATGGGTGCGGAACGCCGTCTTGTGGATGTCCTCCGGCCGCATCCGCTTTTGATGGTACCCGACCTCAGTCCGGCAGTGAAGCGTGCGCCATGGAGCTCGTCGAGGAGCTCGTCGACTACGGGAATGGGGAATGCGTCCTTGACGGTGAGGGCGTTGAGGGCGCGGTAGTCGACGCAGAAGCGCCACGAGCCGTCGGCCTTCTTAACGAGGAGGACCGGCGAGGAGAACGCCGAGTCGCTGCGGCGGACGATGCCCTGCTCGATCATGGCGGCGCATTGCCGCTCGATTAAATCCTTGTGGGCCGCCAGTACCGATGCGGGCCGGACGGCGGCGGCGCCGCGTCGGCTTGAGGGCGATGGCGTGGTCGCGGGCGCATTGCGGGGCGACCCCAGGCTCGGGCGAAGACGTCCCCGGCGGCGGCGAGAGCTCGTCGAGAGCGACTCATTGGCATTGTCGTGGCGCGGAGGCGCGGCGTGGTGGTCGGCAGCACCCCGACCGCCAGAAAGCGTGCCGTGGTGCTTTGGAAGGACATGGGCGCTCGCGAAGTCCCGAACGATCGGCCCGTGGTCGCTATCCATTGGGTGCCCAAACACAATGTACCACCGCAAGTGGCATGACAAAGAGATCGACGGTGAAGGAGGTGTTGTCGATGGAGACCGGGGCGTGCCGGATCACGCTAGGGCAGGCGACCTTCTCGCCATTAGTACGATCGCCGTCGGCGTGGGCCGAAGGCTGGACGAAGCGACCAGTCGGCCGTCACGCCTCCTCGGCGATGAAGTTGTGGGTGGAGCAGCGCCTGTCGAGGAAGGCGGTGAAGGTCGCAGTGCCCAATGACACCTGGACCTGCATCATGTCAGAGACCGGAACGCCCGCGACGGCGTGGAGGGAGAAGACCGGGGACTCCGTGTCCTGCGTGGTCTCGTCCGCGGCCGCGTTGTCATCGTCGTCGTCGTCGTCCACAGCGCAGTCCAAGAGGAAGAGGCGTTTACACACCTTGTTGTGGCCGCGGCTGTACCTCTCGTCACGATTGAAGCCTGGTAGCCGAAGGCGGCGGCGCTCATCCTGCTCTGCCTGGTTGAGCCGCTTCACCGGCCGGCCCTCGACGGTGACGTTGGGCGTAGCCGGCTTGGAGCTCTGCGGGTAGGTCGGTGCAGGACGCTTGCGGGCGGGCGCCGGCAGAAGGCCCTGTGATGCGACCTGGGCGGAGCTGCAATTTGTCATGGTGTGTATTGCTCCGCAGATTCCATCTGGCGAGCCGAGCTCATGGCGGCCGCGAGGGACGGCGGGTTGTGGACCTGCACGTCGAGGCTGAGAGGAGGAAGAAGGCCGCCCGTGAACAATTTGCACACCTGCGCGCGCCTCGTCGGGGGGCAGCAAGAAGGAAGAGCGCCTGAAGCGGTCTCAGTACTCGCGACGGTGGAAATACTGGCGGCAATCGGCGAGCTTTCGAAGAGGGGCGGCGCGAGGGCGGCCCGCACTGCATGATTGATCAACTCCTTGAAGCGGCACCACGACGAGGGGTACCTCGTCCGTCTGGACTTAGATGTACCATGGGGCGCCCTCCCTCGAGGTTGCATAGCGCCATCACACCTTCTCCTCCTCCATGATCCGGCTGGCTTTGGTGGAAATACGACTCGCGCCGGTTGATGAAGATGAGCGGGTCGGACTTTGCCGTCGTCTGTGGGAAGTCCATCTTCTGGAACGGTGGCCGATCGATGGTGCTCGCTAGAGAACGGCTTCTCGCCCGATGAGGGTGATCGATCGGCGGTGAGGGCGGCGATGGCCTTGGTGTTGGCATCCAGCGCCTTGGCGTTGGACTCGTGATGATGGCGTCAGGGCGCGGACGGCCTTAGCGAGGGCTTCGACGGTGGTCTTGAGGTCGCCGTTGTCTCCCATGGGTGCGCCTGGGAGGTCTGCGGAGGGCGAGGCCGGGAGGGGTGGGTGGTGGTGGTGGTGGTAGTGTGTTGGTAATGGCCGAGGAGGTGGTGGAGGAGAGGTGCGGCGGTTGGTGGAGAGGTGGGGGCGGGACGACGAGGATCGCCGGGACCGTGATACCGTGTTGTCAAGGGCGTCGGGCCCTTGGGTAGCTGAGACCTCGGCTCGTAGTTCAGTAGCCACGATCCGTCTTCTCCGTGAGGTTTTCCCCTCATGTGAGCTTAGTTGTTTAGAGAGAGAGAGAGCGAGATGGGTAATATCTTACTTCTTGCCTTTTAATTGTCTCCAAAGTACAAATATATATGGCACGAGGCCGAATGACTAGAGCCAATCGGCTCCTAGAATTAAGGACTAAGAATAGCAACTAATCCTATCTTTCCTGCTAACCACCGGAGGCTGGCTTGACCAGGCCCAACCTCATGCGATCAAGCAGCATGACGGCAAAGACGCCGCCACGCGTCCACAGTCGTAAAGCGCCGTTTCTTGCTTTGTCACGTCTGGCCCCACATGACATACTTTATGTTCCCTTCGGTGAAAGCATAGTGAATCCAAAATCCAAATCTAATTTATCATTTCAAGACTATCATTTTCAATTTAAAACATCGATATTCTATACATCATCATATAGAAATAGTACCCGGTGCAACCAAGACCATGAAAGGCCTATGCTGATCACCCATAAGAAAGCAAGGAACAGAAATCGTGACTTTTCCCCCTTTTTTTTGTGTGTGTGTGAAATAATGCAATATTGTTGATCATGAAAACAGCACACGATAACACTAAGCACCTGGATGGTTGGAGCTGGAGCATCGAAGTGGCAATGCTACGAATATGCTATGGAACTTACCTGTCTGAATTTTACTAATTCCTGGAATCTCATCACCTCCCCTTCTGTGTTTTATAAGCTCAAGTGAAACAAAATAACAGAAAGCACAGTTAAATTGAATATTTGCTAAAATATTTACGTTGTCTACCTACACGGCTGTTATGTAGTATAAGCCTAGATGCAAACCTGCTGCGCCACCCTTTTATGAGATGTAATTATATAGCTATGTTTCAATCAGACTGGCTGCTTTATTTGCAACTGTGTGACTTTATTTATGGTTCCTGCTATCCTGCCCCTGACAAGAGATCTGGGTTATGTAGTGTGAGCGAAAATGTTCTGCTTCCTTTTCTCTAACAAAAATAGGTAAATCAAAATTTTACCAAAGAAACATCATGTCAAAGACCATCCAGAAAAGATGCTCTTGGTGGCATCCACTAGAGCAAAGAAAACACACAAGTATAACTGTATCTCCGATCTCATACTGCTGACTAGCTCAATATCAACCAATACAAACATGAACAGACAATTAGTTAAACTACATCCATGTCGCATGTACGAAAATTGTGTCAGCGGATTAATATTCAAAATACCTTTAAGACATGTTGATTTTGTAGCAATTGACAATATGGTCACTGAGGGATCAATGGTCAAAATCCACTTTTTGATGACTTTCTCATTTTAAAACATGCCTTACAATACCAGATCGAGGGAGTATTTCAATATACAGCAGACAAGTAAGACTTTCTCATTCCAAAACATGACTTAACACACCTCGAGCTTAAAACTTTAACCCATGTATACGTCATAAGTATTTTGGAAGGAAACAAGTTTCAAAACTACCAATATAATCTCATATCCAGCTCTTAGTCGCAATATAATTTGTACTACAAGTAATATCATTTCCTTTAGCAGCAACAATATCTGGTCACAAAAATTCAAAGAGGGTTTATCAAGCTACCTCGGACTGGAGCGTCGATCCGTCGAGCAGCTGGCGGAAGGCCCTGAGGAAGGCGGCGTTGGTCCGCGCGGGGATGCCGCTCCCGACAGCGCGGAGTGACGGGAACAGGGCCGGGTCCACCTCGGCGTCCCCGAACGGCGGGCGGCCGCCGTCGCCTCCCATCCAGTCTGCGGCGGACCAGGAGGGCGGGAAGGCGAAGGCGGCGCAGGGGTAGGGGTGTGACGCATGGTGCACCTGGAAGGAGGCGGAGGGGGAGGCGGCGGCAGCGGTGGCTGTGGCTGTGGCGGTGGGGGAGCTGGAGGGGAAGGAGAGCGCGGCGCAGTGGGCGATGAGCAGGCGGTCGTCTTCGGACAGCGACGCTGATGCGCTCGGCGGCGCGGAGTCCGTCGGCATCGGGAGGGGGAGGTTCATATACAGGCTGCACTGCGTACTGAAGCTCGCGGTGTCAAAATTATTCTTACCCTTTTGAAACGTGACAGATCTCGTGGGTTCATGATTTCATTCATCTTTGGAGCGCGCGTTGCTCCAAGTCCCTTGTGCAGACGTACGCAATGTTTTGAGCCGTGCAGCCATGACGTCAACTGTGGCTGTACCGCAGTAGTACAGGCGAAGGGGGACGGACTTACACACCTCCACAAGCACTCTCGCATTTGCGTTTGGATTTCATTAACCACAACTTCACGCGATTCCAAAAAGTCTCAAACATGTACAGTACAGCTCTTATAACATACTGGACAGAACGAACGGAGTAAGCCAAATTAACATAACGCTGTGGCCCCTCAAATACCAAAACACTGGAAGGCAGTGCCAACAAAATTGCCTAGTGCCTACACATAGGAGTATGTTCGCGTGCTGCATGCATGATATACACATATGTGCAGGCTTTGTTTGAATTTGAATAGAGTCAAATCTATCATAATCCACACGTATTGAGGTTAATTTTCATCCCAATCCAGTCCAACGCACATATTGGTGTGAAACACAAGTGCATCCAAATAAGTCTGCAGTATTTTTCTGCTACATGTTCCCGAGGAAAAAAGAAATCATAAAGACCGAGTTAGAGCCCTCAATTTGTCACCCTTTTACAAATTACACGAGGACCAACTCAGAAACATATTCCAGAAGCTATAAGACCTACTTTTGCAGTATTATTTTACGAACCCTCATGTTCACGATGAACAGGGGACGAGCTGCAATATCCTATCAATGTAAATCATCTTGGTTCAGAGTATCCAATGACAGATAAAACACCTCAGGAAGCAAAGTCCGTTCCAAAAATGTTTTGTCTCATAAATCCTTCAGCTGCTACAGAATTCTCAATGAGATACAAAAGCGGGATGACAAAAATAGCAGTAACAAATGGGGCAGTTCAGTCAAAACATATCGGTGTAAAGCACAAGCCAATATTACTAACCTCAAGATACTCAGACAGGCTAGGTGAAGAATGGATGAGCCCTGAACTTGAATATGATAGTGCATACTCTTCTATGTTCTCAAACCTGTTATCATAGTTACAACATACTGCCCATGAAACCCATCCAAAGGTATTCAGATCACTAGTACATCAATAGAAGCAATACCTGTAAAGATAATTGACCATGATACCTCCACTTTGCTGAATGCCCTTCTCTGATTGGTCGGCCATCCAGTTTATTCTCTCAATCATCTACCAAAATAGCAAGTGCTGTTATGTGAAGCAATTGTTCCAAATAGCTACTCCTTCCAGTAGTTATTATCTGATTTGATTAGACCCAGAGTTTACGCATAAAAAAATAGCATATAACGGTTACATGGTAAAGAAGGCACTCCAACATTGTTTTACAAAGTTATTAAAAAAAATCGGGTATAGGTTAACCAAACATAAATTTTGTTTTCCGAACATGGAAAAATCACATCTGTTCCTCAGCAGCACCATTCCAAACTGAATTTGTGATAGTAGCTTACTGCTCCATTTTGCAAGTGAAAATTTGCTACAGCATCTAGAGCTTTTCCTCGCTTCTTCTCTCTGGCAAGATACCTAGACATTATAGGCATTAGCACAAAACTATCAAAGATTGCAACTAACTCGCGTTTTCTAATGTGCACATACGGTGGAAATAATGTTTTTGCATACCTTGCACATAAACGCATAAGAGGCAGTTTTAATGCAGCAGATAATTTGTCAGATTTTACCCACTGTCTTGATTTCAGTATATCTTGCAATAGTTCAATCCCTTGCTTTCCATCAGCTTGTTCGCTGCAGCAACAGTAACAACACAGCTGATCAAAGATCAATAGTAAACTTTTTAAAGTTTTTGCCCTCTTGCTTTGTTGAATAGATATATATTCACAACAAACATAAACAAGAGTTGATAAATTGCAGAACAGATGCATGTTTCTAAAGTTTAGAACATCCGAATTCCCAGAAAATGGAAATATGTGGAGTTACTAGGTACTACGAACTTCCAGAAGGGAAAGGAACTTAGAACAGTAGAAGTATAAGACAAGAATAGTCCTGGCTACAGATGAAGCTCAATTTCAGACATTGTCTCAGAATGAACATACATGGCATCATGAATCATTCTCTCTTCTTCAGGAAGAAGTATGGATTCTTTGAAAGTAGAACAAGCTCCTAGTGAATTCCCCTCCTGTGACTCTGCCTCTGATAATTTTATTTGGGAGGCCAGCTTAGCAAGAAGCCATTGCATGAAACCAGGGATTGGGCTAAGTGTTGCAAAAATCTGCATGAAATACCAAAAAAAGAAGTATATGACATTTAAGGTATTAAGAAACACAGCCAATGTCTTAACATGAGCTTTGTGAGCCTGATAAATTATTTTGTAATGTTACTATCAATGCCTTAACTAATTTTGAGGGAACCAGTAAGTATTACGCTTTTAAGCAAAACAATTAATTGACACTCAGAAGCACAAGGCTATTGATTCCAGTGGTTTAGAACAAAATAAAAATAAAAATGGCGTATGTTTAACAGTGACTTGGGTAGAGTCAATAAAAGGAGACTTGAAAGGATGGAATATACCCAAAGACTTAGCCTTAGATAGGAGTGCTTGGAAAACAGCTATTCACGTGCCTGAACCTTGATTGCTTCTGCTGGGTTTCAACTCTAGCCTACCCCAACTTGTTTGGGACTTAAAGGCTTTGTTGTTGTTGTTGTTGTTGTTGTTGTTGTATGTTTAACAATGATGATTAATATTGGATATTATAAGTGGTACCTGTACTGATGGCATATCCCTTCTCAACATGTCAATCACACGCTTGAGAAGAAACTTCCCTAGATTAATACCTGATAAACCAGGCTGACAACATTAATAAATGATTAGTTCGAGGCACCAGTTTGTTGGTCAAGCTAGAGCCTATAATAATAGAACTATATTTGTGAATTATGTTTAGCAACTTTGATTACCTGGGTTGACGATATTGAGTAAAATAGTGCACGGCTGGCTTCAGATTCAGGAGCCGGGGGGTCATCCCATAAGACCTCCTACATGATAAAGGAAGAGCATAAGGTGCAGCGGAGGAATAGGATACCCATTTAATCGATACGACAAACTTTAAACAACCTGTATAGATGCGGCCATATCTTTGAGTAAAGCAACTTCAATGAAAATCAGGGGCTCCCCTAATGTTAAAAAAAGATAGTGAGAGCATTGAGAGAAAGTCAACTGCAGGAAAACAAATATCGCAAACAGCCGATTGCTGCACTCAATATCCTAACCACTAACTGTATAGATGCAAACATGCAGTCATACACTAATTTCGTCCTAATGGAAAATTATTAATACATTTTTTAGATGATGGGACAATTGATACATGTTAGGATAAGGTGAGCCTATAAAACTAGATATCTGCATCAGGTTAGGCAAATTTGCAGAGTTACTTAGAAAACTAGATTCGTTTGTATGGATATCTGCATCAGGTTAGGCAAATTTGCAGATTCGTTTGTAGCATGACTAGTAACAGTAGGCAGCAATACTCTAGAATTGCAGAAAGCCACAACTAGCAAACAAACATTTCTTTTTCTATTCTTTAAATGAACTAGTAGACGGTGAAGCCACTATTTTTGGCTTCACCGGCTTCCGGCTCCTCCATGTAAAGTATCAAAGAGCCGGAGCTGTTTCCAGCCGTGCCAAATGGGACCTCAATCCTACCTGGTATTGCTGGATGGAAGTACCCAAAGCATCGGCGGCCAATGCCCAATCTTCTCTTCAAGTCTATCAGATTCCTGATTGGATGCACGGCCTAAATAATTGAAGTCAAAACCATCAGTGGAAACACCGCAGTATCAATTCATGCTGCACGAAACCAAATGATCAGGGAGCCGGCCACAAACTTCATATGCCACAATCTTCTCTAGCAAGGACGCAGGATCATCCCAGGTAATCTGGTGGAGCGTCAGTGCTGCAGGACTAAGCCAAGTCACCAGCTTCTCCTTCAAGTACGAGTCCAGAGCCCGCAGAGCTGGAGCGTTCTCCTCCCTGCATTGTAAAATTGGGATCAGCTAGGGTCCCATCTCCCAGGCAATCCCCAAGTTTCTCGTAATGAAAATAACAAAGTACGGCAATGGTAGTGTTAATTGCAATCAATCTCACCCCAGCAAGGCGAGGAGATCGGCGCGGAGCACGGCGAGGAGCTTGAGCCCGCCTGGCTGCGCGTTCATGGCCTCGAGGAACCCGGCGTACCGGGGCCGGAGTGCGTCCCGAAGCCCACGCTCCATCCGGTACAGCGCCGACGCGGCGCCCTCCTTCCCCCTCCGCCTCCACGTCATCCCCTCCTGACGGCTCGGCGGAGGCAACGCTCATGTACTGTCTCATGAGGTCCCCGACACGCGCGCGGGGCACGTCGTAGTCGATGGCAAGGGAACGGAGGACCTCGCGGCGCCCGACGAGGTCGAGGGAGCGGTACCCATCGGAGAAGCTGTCGAGCGCCGCGGGGGGCGGGGAGGCGGCGGAGGCAGACGCGTGGAGCCAGTGGCGGACGAGAGCCACGGGCGGGGCGGCGGGGTCGGGGTCCGTGGGCGGCGGCGGAGGGGTCGGCTGCGGCGGCGGCGGCGGGGAGGAGATGGGGTTGGGCTGCATGCGGGCGCGGAGGAGGACGGCGAGCGACTTCGATATGTTGTGTCTTGTCATGTGACGCGGCCGTCCGTGGTCCGAAGGCCGGAGGCAGGGAGGGTCGCAGCGCCGGCGGTTGCGTTCTCGCGGGCGGTGCCGCGGTGCCAACTTTGCGGTTGGGTTCGGCCGGAGGTGACCGGTAAGGTGTCAGCGTGTTCTAGGAGTCACTGCTCCTGCTCGGGACTCACCAACGACTGGCCTGTTTGATATACTTTGATTGCTTTCAGAACCAAGGACGGCGGCCAGTTTGATTACTTTCGAAGGACTTGTTGACACTCAGAAAAATGATAAGGTGAGTTGGACTGGAAAAAACATCAAACAAAAAGGATTAAATTCAAATCGAATTGCATTTAAATAGACAAAATTTTGGTAAACTCTATAAAATCCGGCCCTGACAGTATTGAGAAACCGGTCTAGACCGGTTTAGGCATAAGTTGTGCTTGTGCATGGTCTGCCTAGGACGGTTTTGGCTGAGTCCACGCTCGGGGTTGTGTAAACCGGCCCAGACCTGTTTCGGTGGTCAGAGCCACGATTTGTATATTTTCTTGCATGTAGAATAAAATTTTTATTGGGACCCTCTCTCTATTTATACGAGCGAATCATGGATGATTGAGTGCATCTTTAAAATTCTTTTTAAAACTCACTCTCTAGGTCATCATTGGAGTCATTCGTATAAAAATTACTTTCTATGTCTTTTTATTCTCCAACAGTTTATATCTTATTTGCACTCTGAAGAGTCATTCTTATTTTTTATTTTTTAATATTCTATATCGAAGATGTCTATATTTAGATAACCAAATAGAGAGGAGCAATTAGGAACGATATAGAGTCTCTTAGAGTTCCTCCGAGAGATCCATCTACCCAATCGACAATTTTAATAGACTTAGCGGTTAGTTTGGTGCATGAATGTTTTTTTTCTTATTACTCTGTTTGCTCTTTGAGAGCTTTGTTAGATTGAAGGCTGGACTTTGTAGTAAAGGATGATTAAGTACAGACTTATATAGAGGCTCAAATTTTTTTTTTAATGATGTCCTTTTGTCAACGAAAGATTGGCGAACAAATGATGTTTTTTCAATATTTTGTGCATAATGTTTTGTGGTATTTATCATAATTTTAATTATAATCTTTTCAATATTTTCATATTAGTTTATAGACACCTTATTATGATAACTTTTGTACGTACGGTGTGTTTGGTTCATGGCCATAACGCGCCACAGCCGCACCTTGGCTGCCACAACTTTTTACCACTGCTGTTTGGTCTGTACTTCACTTTTGGCAGCCATAACTTTTTCACTGAGCAGATTCCGCTGCAGTTGTGACGCTGGTTTCTACCGCCACAGATGTGTGGCCGCCACACTTTGAGCATGGCGCAGTGCGGCCAGCAACCAAATGTCCCCGTAACCTTTGAATCCTAACTTTTATTTATAATTATCGATGAACAAACTTATTCATAATCATTTCTCAACATAACTTTTTATAGCACAAATTTACAGAATAAACTTTACAAATAACTTATACACATCAGATTTTGTTGTCATGTTTTTTCAAAAGAAAATACATACTTATCAAGCACAATTTTCTACGTAATCCATTCTGGACAAATTGTTCAACCTAGAAAATTTTATTCACAGAAGGAAAATGGGGAGATTAATATAAAAAGGTTAAAAGAAAAAAATTATAAAGGAAGTGAGAAAATAAAATGCAAATGATATGGAGAGAAAAGAAAGAAGTGAGAGAATTGCATACAGTTATGTCTGTGAATTGTGATCATGACCATGGACGAATCGCTCTGAGTGCAGAGTGAAGGAATAGAGATAAGAAAGAAAATACTAAGCTGCAGTAGTTACTGTGGATGGAGACACAGGAAGATAGCGTTGCCATCTAGGTCCAGCACACGTGAAAGGAAGGAAATGGAAGAGACATGTTCATACACATATATAGCAACATAAAAACGTTCGTTCTAGGAGTAGATCTACCAATATGGCGAGGACGCGAGGTCCGGCGGACGGCAGACCTCCCCTTTGGTGGGAACGTAACCCCTACGTGCAACCGGACGGGCAGTGCTGGCCACCGACCGGGGTGGCCACCAAACACCTTTTTTTTTTTTTTTGAGAAACCAAGAAAATATATTACATAAACTTTTAATGTTTACACTAAATCTTACAAAGACCCTCTCGGGAAAATGAAACTACAACCTAGTCCTTGCAAGATCATGGTCCCCTGGTTGACCTCATCATGCGGTGATCGGAGCAATCTGCTGACAAGCCGACCCCCTTAGGACAAAAGCTCTTCACAATTTTTCGATGCCACCATGAGTCATATATTGAGTGCATCGACATGCTATAAGCTCGTTGAACGTCCTGGCTGAAGAATAAGGCCGCCGACCATCACATCGCTGGTAAAACAAGGAATCTGGCGCCTCAAAGGCCACCAGCAACTCGGACTCACCGGAGAAAGATACAACCCGAAGGGAAGCAAAACCACCGGAGAAGGTGGGATCCAAACCCAACCCGGTTTCTCTACGAGTTGGTAGACATACCTTCCAAAATTTCTCCATATATCCATTGCCGTATTCTGGATTACAAGTCCAGCACTATTATTGGCACCATGGGCACCAACGGCACCAAGAAAATCACAGGGAAACCGAGCACCAACGCAGAAGATAAAATCGATGACATAACCATCGATGTTGAGACCCTGCAAAAGATATCACCATCAATCACCACACGTACTTTAGACAGCACTAGGACTCGCTCATCACGAACACAGGCAATAGTAGAGAAACAATGGAAGGGACAAAAGCTTACCGACAACATCTTCACCGGTGAGAAATCCAACCTTATTCTAGGTAAAACTACTCTATTAGAAGAGGATATGTAAATCACCCACCGGATCCACCGTTCCCCAAGCACATCAGCGCCAAAAAGGCCACCGATGGCGAGAAGCAGCAAATCCGGCGGGAAGACAAGAAATCGCCGGCGCGTCGCCTCTCTCTACTGTTGGGGAACAAGCGCTTGAGAGTACTGAGGCGGGCACAAGCATGATGGACTCGGTGTGCTGGCACCAACACCTCGCCGACCACTCCCCGCCTATGCACGGCCCAATTAAAACACGCCTTGCCAACAGCATATGCCTTTCTATTTATTGCGCCTGGCCCACTTCAATCTGGCCCAATTCACGCGCACCGCCCGCATGTCTACTCTCTTTGTTTTAGCATGTACCCATCGCCATCACTTCACTCTGGTTTGTCTAGGAAAGAAAATTGGAAATATGATGAGTAAAAATTGCTATAAAACATGTTGCTAGCGGTTAGATCATTTCCCTCTTCGTCTCTCATGATCAACACAGGTTGATGAAAATAGAAGAACAAATAGACATAAGATAGGAGACAATTCTTTATTTCTCACGAATATTAGTAATTCTGACATAGAGCTCCCACGTATATATAGTCCTGCCAAGGACAAAGAGTTTGGTAAGATTCCACACACAAACAAACTAGGATTAGGATTTCTCATTCTCATTTCCTTCTAGGATAGAGTCCGTATGTTTTACAACACTCCTCCTTGGGCGATTACCACGATATGCACATGCCTCATTAAAAACTCCATCTGAAAAACCCAGTGGGGAAAAAACGGTTCTTGGAGAAAAGAGTACATCGCATTCGTTAATTGCATTGCACATGTTATCTCATTAAAAACCTTGTGTGAGAAACCTTCAAATAAAAACTCATATAGAAAAAAAGAGTGCAACATTTAACCTTCTTAGTCATGTATTCTTCAGGATATTCTATTCTTCATGAATAGATATTTATCTTCATGATAAATGCATAAACTTCAATGTTTTTAGCAAATATGACCTACTTAATCTTGATAATTCTAGTGGTTTAATTACCTTCAAGGTAGATTCAAACAAATTCCCCCCCTCATAAAGCCATCCTTTGAACATAATTGTTCAAACCACACTTTTCATAAATACGTGTTTAATAATGGTATGAAGTACCACAATACTATATCTTTTAAAATATTGGCTCACAATTCTTCTATGAATTATAATATGAGTAAACAAGAGCAATATGCTTCATGCATAAATAACCACTTATTAGTTGTGTAAAACAAATAAAATTTATCCTTTAGGAAAATAAATCCTTTAGAGGATTATAGGGTAAATAGTTTACAATATTCAATATCTTTGAGATAGTGTATTAAACTTATACTAGAGTTTGAATACTTATAATTCTCTTTTAGTGGATTTTCAAATTATATGTTCTACAAATCTTCAGAACTTTGATTGTACCACTAGATAATAAATCCAGTCTTACATTTAGGCATTTAGGAGATAATTCAATTGTCAAGATCACCATTATTCTTATACCTTCTATGGTATTTAGAGTATATCATCACTTTAATGCTAGCTTTTCAATATGCACTTTCTAAGTGTTTATATGGCACCTTCATGGTGTTTATGATTCCTCATTTGTTTTCTCTTGGGTCTATATTCACTTAAGGGATTGATGGTGTTTATTTAAGAATCGACTTGTATATCCTTCATAGATTAATTCCTTCAAGGATGTTCTTATTCTTAGCGAATAACATTTCTCTTTTATGAGATATATTCTCTACTACATGAGAGATTATTATGTGATATACATAACAAAATA